GGCGACTGCCGGGCCGGGCCGACCAGCGCCGCCTCTACCCGCGCCCGCCCCGCCCCGCCCCGCCCGCCGCGAGGGGGAGGAGCCTCAGCCCGGCGCCGCCAATCAGCGCCCGCCTCCTCCCCAATGAGCGCCAGGCCACGCCCCCGCTGCGCCCCGCCCGCTCCCCAGCCCCGGGGGCGCGTGACTCCGGTGTGTACGCCGGGCGTGCGGAGGCGGGGCCGGCAGCGAAGCCGCGACCAATGGCGGCGGCACTCGGGGCTGAGGGGGTGGAGCCTTAGGAGGGGCGCGACCAATGGGGGCGCGGTGCGGCCGGCGCGCGCGGCGCTCGGCGGGAGCGGTGCCGGGGCCGCCGGGGCACGATGCGGCCGAACGGGCCGGGCCATCCCGCTCTCCCCGCTCCCCTCGCCGCTCTCGCCCGGCCCGCGGCGGCCGCCGCTATCTTCGGACCCGCGGCGCCGCTCGCCCTCTTCAGCGGCCCAGGAGCGCCGCCACGCGTCGTCGTGCCGCACCGGTCGGCGGTCGCGCAGTGCCCTCTGGCGGCCCCGCTGCGCCTCACAGGCCCGGCCCGACGGGGCGCGTCCCGGTGCCTCACGCAGGGATCTGCCGCGGTGGGGGCTGGCTCTCTCAGCCGTGCCCGTTCCCCGTTCGGCCCCGAGCCGCCGTCGGTGCAGTACCGTGCGGCGATCAGAAATCGAGCCGTCGCACTACGGCCCCCGGGCACACCGACAGCTCCTCGGATGTATCGAACCTGAGAGCGGAATTACCGATAAATACAGAACGGAGGGATCGCGCTACTCCGTCACCTCTGCTCTGCCGCGCCGCCCCGTGCCGAGGCGTGGGGYGAGCGGGGCCGGGGTTTGGAGCTCCCACCCGGGGATGTCCAAAGCCGCCCGCGTTGCCTCGCTCCGCTCATCCCCAGCGCATGGATGCCGAAAGTTCCGATTCAGGAAAACTGTAAATTACCGTGTGCCAAATCCCGCCGTCCTGAGAGCCCGGCTCTTTCCAAGGCCTCGGCTGCTGTGCCCCAGTCCCAGCTGGGGCGACGGACACCCTACACACTGCCCCATCGCTCCGTGTCCGTCAGTTATGAAGGAGCCAGGAAACAGTTCAGCATCCTGGACAGCCAGAGATGGACAGTTGTGGGAGCAGCCGGTGTGGCTTGTGGTGGCTGTCACTCTTTTAGAAGAGGTAAAACAGATTCTCTTCTATCTAAGYGCCTGGAAAATGGAAGAATAAACTGTGCAGGACAACCTGTTATGATGTGGAGCAGAGCAGGGACAGTCTCTGGGGACTCTGGGGGCTGTAGTCACAAATCTTGCCTGGTCCCAAATCTCATTCAGCTCATCCTGAGGGAGTTCCACAGGCCTGCTCTCCCAGGGAGGTGACAGGTATCCCTGAGCCACAGCAAAACCCTGCTAACCACAGAAAAGAGGGGCCCAGGAATCCCTTCCCTTTCCCCTCGGGGTGAATCAGACGATCACAATTTCTGGCTGCTGCCATCACAAATACCCTCCCCACGTGCTGAGGGAGGACACCAATGCAGCAGAATTTCACACTAGGAGAAAAGGATTTGAACCATCTCTACAATAACTAAAACATCAAGACTGGGGTCTTGTACAGGTTATGTTGGGGTTCCTTACATGGAATGGGACTGCAAGAACCTTCTCTTTTCATACACTGGGGGCTGAAAATCCCAAGGCTGTGCAAGCCTAAGCAAAGCCAGGCAGATATCCACACCCTGGTGAGGACTTCCAATGCTCCACATCAAAGTCAAGTCCTCTTAGCTGCTTCCTCCCTGACATGCTGAGAATTTGGAAAAAACACAGTGCTATGCAAATGCAGTGGCAATTAAACTGTGGCCTTTTTCTGTATGCACAGAGYGGGGACCTCACTGTGGGTGCAGCTCTTCCCTGGCAAGTTGAAAGGCCATGCCAGGGACTCATGTCTTTTTAATGAAGGGATTTGCAGATAGGACCCCATGCCCCACCTGCTCTTCCGTTCTCACTGGGAAGGCTCTCTTTGATAGCRGGAGCTAATTGCTGCAAACCTCCTAGGATGAGCTGGTTGGGCGCTTGGATGAAGTCTTTGTAAGTAATCTAGGGAGAGGGCTGGGGGAGGTGGGGATTAAACAACTGCTTCTTCCCAAKGTCCCTTCAGTGAGGTCATTCCATAAAATTTTAGTTTCCTCTCACTTACTGGATCACAGCTGACCCCAAGGCTGGCTTGCCAGGGATCTCTACCTGAAGCCAGCTAATACCTGCCTGATGACTCTAGATAATACCAAGGATTCTTTTCTTCTAATCTTAATATAGCTCTAAACCCAACAATTTACAAATTTTTGTACATCCTGTAGGTCACACTCATAGGCTAATCCAAAGCCAAAAGGATGGGCTGGCAAGGAGACTTTCCAAGAAACCATGTTTATGGGCATTTTTTATAAGTTTAATCTCTAAATTAATACTTGATTGCTGCCCTATTTTGCTGGGCAGATTAAGCATTCTGGGCTGATACGTCTGTTTCTGGATTTCCCATCACTGTGTGACATTTGGATGTTATCTRACACTCATCCTTTTCATTCCAGGTGTTCTGGACWTACCTCCTGATCACCTGGACTCTCCTCAGCTACTGCAGAACATCCTTGGCACTGGCCCATGTTTCTTTTTGAACTCAAATTTTATTGTTTGCTTCTCAACTTCCCCCATGCCACATCAAGATGTTGTTTAAATGGCAGAGAGGGGAAATTTGGTCCCTCCTGGAAAATCAGAGTGTGAAGAGGGGTGGAAATGGTCCCTCATTTCTAAGTTTAGCTGTTCAGCAGCCCGCAGCCTTTCCCAAAGAGCTTCCATGAGCCTGGCTGTGTGGGATTCATGCTGGGCAGCAGAAATGCATCCCACGACCTCCCACCACAGCCTCAAAAGCCCCTGCACCTTGCTCTTTGCCGGCTGTGGGATACAGCCAGACATGTTTCTGCTTTTCCAGAATTGCTGTATTTCCCTGYAAAACTCCACAGGTGCAATGTTTCAGAGGACTCAGGGCTTTCCAAGTAGATGGAGTCTGGGGAAAAGCAGAAACCTCAGTGGCACTGCACATGGAAAGAGAGAGCAATCCCCATCTCCTGGAACAGGCTGCAGGGCTGCAAGTGAGACAGAGACTGTCCCTGTCTGTGTGCCCAAACCACACAGCCACTGCCAGCCCCACGGTGAGAGACCCCAGAGGAGGGGTGCTCACTCTAACCAGACACAACCTGCCCCACCAGCCCTGTCAGGGAAGCAAAGCACCCCACAGCCACAAGCACACAGCCTTTGAGCTCAGACATGTATTTGCTCTCTGGGAGAAAATGTCACCGGGGCCACATCCTCTCTTCCTGCTGGCTTCTGACAGTGCAGAGGCACCACTCACCACTCAGCAGCACCCTGGGGGAACACAGGTGCCACCAGGACAACAGGCAGGACCTGGGGCTGCCAGCTGCTCCAGCAGCTGGAAGGGATCACAGATCTTCTCCTGGAGGGGAGAACAAAACCCGGGGCAGGATCAGGTCAGTGGGAAGCAAGAGCCACCTGAGAAAGTGGCATTTGCCCCTGGCTGAATCCTTGCCAGCAGAGCAACCCAAGGGCACCGCCTTAGCTAACATGGGGGGCAGCTCCCAGGTTACTCCAGCTGCTTTTCTCTGCAGCAAGGAAGAGGCCAAGAGCTTGCCTGGGACTTTGGCTCTGCTTTTATCTTAGAAATGCCTCCTGCTTGGACAGAGACCTGAGGAAATCTCCCCTCCCCAAGTACAAGGCTGTATTTCAGGGATACACAGCTGCAGACTCTTATCTCCCTTGTCTCTCCTGACCCATCTATGGGCTGGAGGGACCACCAAGGAGAAGAAAAAGGCTTCCAGCAGATAGAATGCTTTGTGCTGCAGGGTCAGGGTTGGCAGCCAGGGCCAACATGCTCTTCCCTCAGCAGCTGGGAGAGCAATTGGCAGGAAGATGCTGTGTGGATGAGCCATCATCTCCCTGGGGCAGGCTGTGCACAGCCATCCCCACAGGGGAAGGATAACTCTACTTGGGAGACCTCAGGGAAGTCCAGSTATCAGCCCCACCACTCACCAGGGACATGTTGGGGTGGTTAGAGCAGACCCCTCTTTGGAGGGCTCCAACTTGGCTGGGGGTACAGTTTGTCCAGATTCAGGCACCACTCTCAGGGTCCCATTAAATCGTGCCCAGCCCAGAAGGACTCAAGTGTTTTGGTATCATGCCACAGCCCCTCTGATACCCCAGGGTGACTCTGATGGCATGAGACACCCATGTCCCTGTTCCTTAACCCAGCCACAGAACTACCTTGTACCAACCTTCGCTCYCTTGCAACAGCAGCCCTGCAGTGCTGTGGTGTTGGTCCCCTCAGCTCGAATCAGAAACTCCTCTGCAAACCTGGAGCTCTGAAGGATCGCAGCCATTTCAGCATCCACGTCCACCACCTCTCCTTCCTGGGGGTAGAGGAACAGTCACAGACCTGGGGTCCTGCATATGTGTCCCAGGGGACTCCAGCCACCCAGCCAGATGATGGGGAGAGTGAAAGTAGGGGCACATCTTGGCACAAAACCTGGAGAAACACCCACAAAACCCAAGCATCAGGCTTCAAACCATTCTGGGWAGCCACCATGGATATCCTGCTTCTACTTTTACCACAGTGCAATGAATGGATCTGTCTCCCCTTTCTGCCCCTTTGCACTSTCCTGGGTTTACACAGCCCCTCTGCTCCCACCCATCACCTCTCCACCAAAACTTGCCCCCAGATCACAGAGGATGCTGCTGAGTAGCTGCTTCATCARCTTTAACCCTTCCCTACGGAGCCCCAGCATGCCTCCCCGCACCTTGAAGGTGAAGTTGGCATCAAACACCAGCTCTCGTTCATGCCCCACAATGCCACCATTGTAGATGACCTGTCCTGGCCCGGTCCGGCTGCCACTCGGCACCTTGAACAGGCGGAAAGTTGCAGAAACAAAGCGGCAGTCGCCTACAAGGGAGAGGTTGGTGTGTTGGGCACTGAACACCAGGGCTGGGAGCCCAGCAGAGCTCCCCACAGCTGCCACTCCCTGGCTGGACCCTCACCGATGATGTCCTGCAGCTCCTTGTTGCCAATRGTGATGGGGCTGGCGGTGACCAGGCACGGGGGGCTGAACCCCACCTCTTCAGCAATGCTGTACAGGTCTCTCCAGTACAGGGCTCCTGCCAGGCATTCTCCTGGCACAAGACCACAGACRTGGGGGATGGAGGCAAAGGTCCAGCACCCCCATGCCATGTCACTCCCATCCCACAGCCCTACGCACCCCACAGCACCCGGTGCTTCTGCACGGTCTCGCTCAGGCGCTGGCTGGCGTAGATGTCACTGAAGTACATCTCTCCCCCRGGCTGGAGGGCAGCAAGGAGTRAAGGGASACCTCAAGAAGCAAAGGGACAAAARGGGCAGGGAGAACTGGGAACCCCCTAATCCTAACTTTCTTGGAACCCTCAGCAGAGATGCCYTTCCCTGACCCCATCCTGCATCCCTGCCTTGCTGGATCCCATTTGCTGCTTCTCAGTGGCACCCCAACAACAGGGCCACCCCACACCCACTTTGCTGCCATGGGCACCAGCCCAGCATCACCTTCAACACAYGAAAGGCCTCCCGCATCACAGCCCTCTTGTCAGGGGTGAGGTTGATCACGCAGTTGGAGCTGTGGAGGAGGAGATGGAGGCTTATTTGCACCTTCTTCCACACTTAGCACCACCAGCTGCTGCACATGCACTAGCTGCTGTGCATCCCATCGCTTCACACAGGACTTGGAAACACCAATTTGACCATGAAAAGGAMAGTTTATATTCCCAGACTCTAGTCCAGATTCTGCCTTGGGATTTCCCTTTTCCCAACATGTGCATCTGAAGCAGGCGACCCCTTGGGATGAAGACCCAGCCTACAGCCCCAAGAAACAGCAGGACTGGGGTGACAGCACCCTGCACAGCACCTACATGACAATATCGTAGCTCTCGTCAGCCAGCCCAGCATCAGCCAGTTTCTCCATGTAACCATGGACAAACTCCACGTTTGGCTTTCGGTAGCCAAACTTATCCATGTGGTAGGCAATGTGCTTCTTCGCCACCTCAACCTGTCAGGAGGAAGGAAATGATGTGGGGTGCTGCTGGGAGGATGAGGGGGTGCCCCAGCTCTGTGCRGTACCTGGCCCTCAGTCATATCTATCCCGGTGACATGGCCCTGCTCYCCAACCAGCTGGCTCAGCACGTAGCAGTCCCTGCCGCTGCCGCTGCCCAGGTCCAGGATCCGGCAYGACGACAGGCACTCAGGGATCACCAGACCACAGCCATAGTACCTGGATGGATGCTGGGCTGAGCTGGGCAGGGGTGCCCCATGGCATGGCCATCCAGGCAGCTGCAGCCCATGGGGATGTGGCAGTGGAGGAGACCCCAAGGTTTACCTGGCCACCACCTCCTCATGGACACGCTCCAGAGCATCTCTCACCACCTTGSAATGGGGCCTGGCTGAGGTAGTGCAAGCATTGGTTTTGAGGTCCTCCGACTTCTGCAGCTCTCTGCCATAGTAATCCTGAGATGAGGACAGAGGCCACTGAGCTGTGGCAAGTTGTGCCCTGGTAGTTCCCCATGCTCCAAAACACGGAGGCCATGCCTGCACACACCCACATGTCCTCTGGCACTGGCACTCTCATTTCCACCCAGCCAAAAACTATGCTAACATCAGGCATTCCCTTACCCCCATCCTCCCCAGCTCTCTTTGTTCACACATACAGATGTGTTTGTGCAGGACAGAATTTAATTCCATTTGCARTAACTTTGCAGGCTGCAGCCACTGTTTCCGTGGCCAAGAAGGGCACAGGGAACAAGGGCAGAGCAACGCCGGGTTGCTCAGCCCCCATCCCTGTGGGCAACAGATGCAAAGCTGCCAACCACACCTGGTGTTTTCATCAGGGCCCCAAAACAAGCTCATCCTCTAATGGCAGCAGGAACCCTGACACAGCCCAGACACAATCCCCCTGCCCAAATGCCCCATCCCTCCACCAGTTCCTGYCCACGCCCCTCACCTGCACCTCCTGGTGGATCTGCATTCTGCAGGGAGTGGCCACTGCAACGGGAATGTGGGGCTGACACCACAGAGATGGGCACCAACAGCAGGTCCTCCCAAGGGCTCTGAATCCCCTTCTTCCCCCAGATACTAGAGCAGATACTCTGAATCCCCTTCTTCCCCCAGATACTTTTGCTCTGCCCCACAAGAACCCTGAGACATCTAGTAGGATGCTCCTGGGGGCACCTGACAACATCCCCCCACCCCAAAGAAACCCATTCCAACTGCCCTGGAGAGACGAGCCTCCAAAATATCCCTGTAGGGTAAATCCTCCCTCCCCTGCTTTGCAGAGAACCCTTGGCCCCGAGCGTAGTCCCAGGACACCCGGCAGAGGCCCTGGGCTGCCTTACTGCCTCCAGCTGCAGYGCCTCAGCCGGACTCTGCCCAGCCMGGGCCACGCTCCTCCCCAACACCCTGAGCTGTCCCGGCATCCCACACAGCAGGGCCTGGCTTCCGCCCCAACCCGGTTCCTGCCCGCCTAGGCCCCTGGCACATAGCCCTGCCGGGACACGGGCACAGCGAGGGCTGCTGGCCCTGCTCCTGTGGTGGGCACACTGCCATCTTCCTGCTGTACCCACACCCCCCAAACMCACCCTGCTGCCTGCTCCCCAACAGCTCTGCACCTCCATGGTGAAACCCTGCTCCTGCTTGCCCCAAATGCAGGGAGACACAAATTTAATGCCACAGGACTGCTGTAGCCTCTGCAGCRGACAGGACCTTGGAATGGATGAGGCACCTGCAAAGGCACTCTGCAGAGCCCTCTGAGCTGAAGCACAATGGGGAACACTGTGGGGCAGAKACCCACCATCCCAAAGTCTCCCCAATGCACAAGGACCACCAACAATGGAATCCAAGACTGCTGCAGTTTAGCGTGTTCAGGACAGCTTTTATTCCCAGGAAGGAAGTCACAGGGAAAACTCTCATTCCCAAAGTGCATCTGCAAAACTGGGGATGAGTGTCACCCAAGGCAAAAATACTTGCTGTGGCCCCTGGGCTAACAGTGGCACAGTAATGGGGATGCAGAAGCTGTGTGCCATTAGGTGAAGTCTAAACAGGCAGTGGCCCTGGCAGGGACRGTGAAATCCAGCCTAGGAGCCAGACCCCAGCAGCATTCCAACAGGAAAATGGCAGGCCAGTGTCAACTCTCAGCCTGCCTGCCCCTATCAGCTGGTGAAAAGCACACTCGGCGAAACAAGTGCTTCCCGTGCACTCCAAGTGCTTCAGATAAGTGACTCACCAGAAACAAGACACAGTATTTATAACCTGGGCCTGGATGTGAACAGGTCACTAGTCTTCAACAGAGCAGTGTAGAACTGAGCACTGAGCTTGTGATGCCCCCCTGCCTGGCTCCTAGACAGGCCTTTGGATACCTTCCCAACCAGATACACACACCACAGCCAAGGCTGCTTCATCAAGAGCTGCAGCTGGAGCAGCAGCCCAGGAAAAGGAATGCAGTTGAAGGCCGAATGCAGCACACATGGCCCGGCAAAGGGATGATGTTCCAAACTCTGGCAGAGTGGAAAATTAGATAACCTCTGAGGAGGATGCTGGCCAAACCACACCCAGCTGGGCCACTGGCAGATGCGCGTGCCCAGATTCCTGGTTTCAGAAATTCTGTGCTGGGAGTGGCACCTCAGCCTACMCTGAAGCACCTCTCACCCACCCAGGCACTTGCAGCTCACACTGATTAAAATGCCCTAAAAAAAACTGCATTCTGTGCCACCTCTGGCTAAATACAGACCGGGGCAAACTGCAGGCACCTGCTTTTAAACCCTATGCCTCCACTCTGCATTTCTTGCCGGGGTGCTGCTGTGGGCTGAGCACCTCACGCTACAAGGGAAGTAAGTAGATGCATAGGAACTGTTGGGAGAAGAAAAAATTTCAGGACATTTGTTACAGCCAGGTGCAGGTGTGTGGGTGAGCATTCTGGAGCAGAGGTGTGGATGTAGGTGCATGAGAGGGGGACCACATGCCCAAACAAACACAGACTCTGCATGTATCCCAGCTGACATTCAGCATCATCCAGACACAGTTCTGAGCCCTGGGGGCTGGAGGGGAGAGGATCCTTCACTTCCTCAGTGCCAGTCGAGATGTCCTTGTGCCTTCAGCTCCCCTTCATTTCAACAAGTGACTCAGCTGGTCCTGAAGGTTTGACGAGCGCTCCACGCTGGCACCAAGCAAGAGGAGATTCACAGTGAGATCTGCTAAACTGTGCTGKGCTGCCTGTGCCCAAGGGACCACAGCAGCTCTAGAGCTGATACTACAGCACTGAGAAACCCTGGGTTCCCCTACTCTCTTCTGTGTCCCCACAAAGCAAACCTCACTTTGTGCACTCTGCTGTACCCACCCTGCTCCCACCATCCCCACCTCCTCTCACAAGCAGCCTTACAGGCTCTATCACATCAGTGAAACAAAAAAAAGTTTTGGTATTAATCCCATCTCTTCAGAGTACTGAAGTGTTATSCTGCTGGGCCAGCATCTGCCCCAATGTTAGCTGCAAAAACCTTTTCCYTCTGCTTCCCCCATCTGCCTCCACCACCTTCCCCTTTCCACTCCCACACATGTGTTCCCTACGTCCTCCCAGAACTTACTTCTTTTGAATTGCTTCTTGCCTAGATGAGAAAAAGAGAGACAAAAAGATCATTAGAAAAACAAAATCTCAGTCAGGGTTTATGTTATGTCAAACAAGSGCTCAAGAAGTCAGAACTCCAGGGTATTTCTGGATTAAGTCCTGGAGGACAACAGCAGCACTGGCTTCTCCCTCTTAGCCCCAGGTGCATTGCACACACTCATGGGAGATRTGGTGCATGGCAAACAGGAGGCAAAAATCTCAGTTCCCACAAAACAGCCTGAAGAGGGCTGAAAAATTCCAGCTCCACGTCCTGCTCAGCTTTGAAGAACTGAAAAAGAGGGATCAGTTTGAGCCAGTTTCATGCAAAGTCTTTAAGGAGAACAGAGAAGGACTGAGGGATCCACTCAACCCCCAAGAGAGAACACCTACTTACTGGTACTGTAGATGAGTAGTTATTATGGCCATTTTTCTTAAACTCTGTGGAGAACAAAACAAAGAATGAACGCCTGCAGAAATCACAGTGCAAGCTGTCCTAATGCCCCGGGGAGTTCCTCCAGCACAGCCACCCCTGCAGGAGAGTGCACTGCCTGCAAAACACCCCTGCCGTTATCTGTCAGCAGTGGCACACTTCCCTTTTTTTTCCCAGTGATAGGCAGAGACACAAGTGCTCTGTTTCAGCCCACAGTCCCTTGACCCTTCTGTCAGAAAGAGCACAGCTTGAGGCCTGGCCAGGTTGCAGGATGCTGGGAGTCCAACAGCACRTAAGGGTTTGAGGAAGCATTAAATTATTCTGTGCTGCCTGAAATTATGTATTTCACTCCACAGCTCCAGTAACACGGCTGTAAACTGTTATTACCACCCTCCTCTCCTCCTGTCCCTAGAAACACTGCTGCTCGAGCAGAAGAACACAGCTTACATCTTCCGAGTGCAAGATGGCATCTTCTTGCATCACCATGTTTCTCGCAGCTTGACCCAGGAGCTAAAACACAAACGCACAGAGCAGGCTGAGATACTGCAGCTTTGCATCTCCTGAGGCCCCCGTGACGGCTGGCAGGGTGACACAAGGGGTGACACATGGGGTGACACCGTGCAGGGATCACCGCGGTGCCGTGAGAGCGTATCTATGGGGAGCACCTGAGGCACCATTCCCGCCCGTCACCCTGGAGAGTTGGCAGTCACCCTTCCGCCTGCCACAGCCGGAGTCCCGAGGCGCTGCCCAGCCGTGCCCGCATCCCGGTCCCGMTGTCCCCGTCCATGCACGGAGATATGTCCCCGCCTCAAACTACAGCTCCCAGCATGCACTGCACCGCAGCCCGCTCCCAACGCCCCGCTCCGCTCCGGCGGGGCTCGCCATGGCCCTGTAACCGGCCAAACGCCGGCACCCACCGCTCACCTCGGCGCTACGGGAGCCCTTCAGCACCTGCTTGGTGAGAGCGATCACGTCGGTGCCGCAGCTCGTCACTTTCTCGGTCAGGAGCCCCTTCACCGAGTGTCCAAAGCGCGCCTGGGCGTCCGCCGCGCCCCCCGCCGCCATCTTACCCCGCCCCGCCCATACCCGGGAGCCGCTACGGCGAGCACCGGGGGCCTGAAGGGTTTGGAAGGCGCAGCGCCCCCGGCGGCCGGGGGCGCTACAGGGAGGGGCTTCTGTCCCCCAGAACACCTCATTGCCTCGGGCACGGACACACTACAGCCCAGCACTGACAGCGCTGATCAGAGTTTCTCAGCACTGCCCAGAGATGACCAGCACTGCCCAGGGTTTCTCAGCACTGCCCAGGGATGACCAGCACTGACCAGGGTTTCTTAGCACTGCCCAGGGATGACCAGCACTGACCAGGGTTTCTTAGCACTGCCCAGGGATGACCAGCACTGACCAGCACTGACCAGGGTTTCTTAGCACTGCCCAGGGATGACCAGCACTGGCCAGCACTGATCAGGGTTTCTCAACACTGGCAAGTGCTTCCCCTGTACTACCCAGGGCTGACCAGTGGTACGAGGGGTTGGGCTGACCAGCGCTCACCAGCATTGCCGAGGACTGCCCAACATGTCAAGTGCTGCCCGTGTCTCCCCGTGTCTTATCAGGGATGTTCAGGGTTTCTCAGCATTTCCAGTGCTGCCCAGTGCCCCAGCCCCGTGCTGCCCATCCCCCCCCGGGTCTGTCGAGGCGCTCCCAGGCCGAGGATGGAATCAGTGCTCCACCAGATCCTCCCAGCTGTGCTCAATGCACCAGGACAGACGTCGAGGGCTCAGCTGTCCCCGCACCCCTGGCCCACCACAGGGCCCTGGGGATGGAAGCCCAAGGACAGATCCGACCCTGGGCATCCCCTGGCCCCCAGCGCAATGGAAGCGGCTCCCCCATGGCCAGCCAGGGTGGCCGTGGCCCCGCTGCCCTCGCCCCCCGCCATGTGCCCACAGCTGCAGAGCTGGCCACGGGCCCAGCGCCCGGCTCCCCCCTCCTTTCCCCCCGATAAGGAGCCGAGCCCGCCTCAGAGTCAAGGAGACGACCCCAGAGCCGCTATAAGGGCCCCCCGCGCGCCGCAGCCCCTCAGCCGGCCCCGCCATGCCGCTGCTGGGTGCCCTGCTGCTGGCCCTGGCCCTGCTCTGCACCTGGCGGCTGGCTCGCCGGCGGGACACCCTGCCCATGGCCACAGCGACGGGTCTGGGGCGCCCACGGAGCCTGCCGGCCCTGCCGCTGGTGGGGAGCCTGCTGCAGCTGGCCGGGCACCGCCAGCTCCACCTGCGGCTGTGGCGCCTGCAGGGACACTACGGCAGCCTGTACGCCCTGTGGATGGGCTCCCACTACGTGGTGGTGGTCAACAGCTACCGGCACGCCAGGGAGGTGCTGCTGAAGAAGGGCAAAGASTTCGCCGGACGGCCCCGCACTGTGAGTCGGGGTTTGGGGGTCCCTTCCCACTGTGGCGTGGGGTGAGGCGGGGGCGCTCCCAAAAAGGCACYCAGCAGGGTCCGTGTCCCCTCCCCAACCTGGCCGCAGCACGCCGGGGGCAGGGCAGCCCCTCCATACCCCGTTCCCCAGGGTGAGCCCTGTGCATCCTCCAGCCCAAAGCTGCCTGTTTTCCTGCAGCTGGCTGCATCCCTGGGCACGGGGATGTGAATTCAGGCTCCCTGCACCCCTTAAATTCACTGGGCATCCTGGAGCCCCTAACCCTGGCATCTGTCCCTAAAGCTCTTTATCAGTCCTTGGCAGGGGGAAAGCAAAGCTCATGTCCTGTGCTTTGCCGGYCTGCACTAACCCCCAGCCCCCCGGACAATTCCTGGGATGGGGTGAGATGATCATCCATCCCCTACGGCCGTGTGCTGCCGTGGGGTGACCCTGGAACTGTCTGTCCCTCAGGTGACCACGGACCTGCTGTCCCGCGGGGGCAAGGACATCGCCTTCGCCAGCTACGGGCCCCTCTGGAAGTTCCAGCGCAAGCTGGTGCACACTGCCCTCTCCATGTTCGGGGAGGGCTCCCTCGCCCTCGAGAGGATCAGTAAGTGCCTCCCACCAGCCCCAGGCTCCCTCCCAGCTCTGGTTCCCTCCCACGCTTGTCTTTTTCTTCCGACGTGCCCTGATTCCCTGGGCTCAGCCCAACCCCCGCGTTGTCCCCTCAGCTTGCCATGCAGGAGCTCTGTCCCTCTCCTTCTGTCCCCTGTACTTTACCAACACCGCTCCATGTGTTTTCCACCCTGAACTTCAGTTCACCTCACTCACAGATGGGGAAATCGAGGCGTGGAGCCAGCTCCCTGCTCCACCCAGGAGGACATCCTTGCACGTCTCCATCCTCTCTGCTCCTCCTCCTCAGCACCCAGCATTGTCCMTTCTGCCCATCCCAGCCCCGCAGGGTCCAGCCCTGGCAGGGGGGTGCGCTCTGCAGGCTGCACATCCTGAATGAACAGGGAACCCATCCTTCCAGCCCCCATCTGCCCCCTTCATCACCCCCTGGCCTTCCTCTCCCTGTCCCAGTCTGCCGGGAGGCCGCGTCCCTGTGTGAGACGCTCAGCGCTGCGCAGGACACGGCCCTGGACATGGCCCCTGAGCTCACACGGGCTGTCACCAACGTGGTCTGCTCTCTCTGCTTCAACTCCTCGTACCGGCGCGGGGACCCCGAGTTCGAGGCCATGCTGGAGTACAGCCAGGGTATCGTGGACACTGTGGCCAAGGAGAGCTTGGTGGACATCTTCCCCTGGCTCCAGGTGAGCAGGGACGTGGGCACTGCCTGTTCCTCTCATCTCACATGAGGGGACGGAGCTGCAATGTGTCCTGTACGAGCTCCCCTAAGTTAGGAGGGTCTTTGCCCTGGTGGCCCACAAGAGCCAGTACCCGGATGGGCACAGAGCGACCACCTAGGGGCTTGCACGGGCTGGGCTGGAGCTTGTTGTAATATGGCTTTTCTCCCTCAGATATTTCCCAACAAGGATCTAGCCCTGCTGAAGAAATGCCTCCAGGTCCGGGACCAGCTGCTCCAGCAGAAATTCACTGAACACAAGGTGCCAGCAGGGCCAGGACAGGGAGCTGATGGAGCTGAGGTGATGGGCACTGTGCCCAGCAGGGCCTGGCTCACGCGTGTCTCTCRGCAGGAAGCTTTCTGTGGAGACACCGTGAAGGACCTCATGGATGCCCTCTTGCAAGTGAGGCTCAATGCTAAGAACAGCAGCCCTCTGGAGCCAGGGCTGGAGCTGACTGATGACCACCTCCTCATGACAGTGGGGGATATCTTTGGGGCCGGTGTGGAGACCACCACAACTGTGCTCAAGTGGGCTGTGCTCTATCTGCTCCACTACCCTGAGGTAGGGTCTACACCCCACAGTGGGGGGCTTGGGTTCCCTCCACCACCTCATGGATGTCATGAGGAGTTTTGGGGAAGGCAGGTGCCAAAAGAGAAGTCAGGATCTGCAGATAAGCAGGATCTAGCTGTGGGCACTTCTGCCCCACACAACCTGACAGGACATGCTGATGATGCTGGGTGCACCCCACTGCGCACAGGGCACCCCTCTCCCTGGGCTCCCACACTGGTGTTTGCTCCCCTCCCAGATCCAGAGGAAGATCCAGGAGGAAATGGACCACAAGATCGGCTTGGTGCGTCACCCACACCTCAGTGACCGCCCACTGCTGCCCTACCTGGAGGCCACCATCAGTGAAGTGCTGCGCATCCGGCCCGTGTCTCCCCTGCTCATCCCMCATGTGTCCCTTGCCGACACCAGGTGAGACCCCCCTGGGGCACATACAGCTCCTGAGCAGAAACCGTGGAGARGGAGCAACTGCCTCACTCTGTGTCTGCCTTGCAGCATCGGGGAATACTCCATCCCCAAGGGTGCCAGGGTCATCATCAACCTCTGGTCTGTGCACCACGACGAGAAGGAGTGGGACAAACCTGAGGAGTTCAATCCTGGTGGGTTGTGTGATCCCCATCCTCTCCTGGGCCGGGGGATGGCAGGGTGGGTGCAGCAGGAGAGGCTGAGCCCTGGCAGGGGGGCTTGGTGCTGKGAGGTTGGATCCTGCTCCCACCCATCTGGGGCATTCCCACCCTCTCTGCTCCTGCAGCTCCCACACATGTGATGAACTTAAGCAGGTCTCAGGCAGAAGGGATTAATGCCAGTGGTGCCCCTTGCCCTCGCAGGCCGCTTCCTGGATGAGCGGGGCCAGCACATCCACTCACCCTCACCCAGCTACCTCCCCTTTGGAGCCGGGATCCGTGTCTGCCTGGGAAAAGTCCTGGCCAAGATGGAGCTCTTCCTCTTCCTGGCCTGGGTGCTGCAGAGGTTCACACTCGAGTGCCCCGAGGACCAGCCCCTGCCCTCGCTGGAGGGCAAGTTTGGTGTTGTGCTGCAGGTGCAGAAGTTTCAGGTGAAGGCCAGGCTGAGGGAGGCCTGGAGAGTGGCCTCATGATGGGGAGGAGCCCTGGATCTGGGGCGATGGGGGTGGGGATGGGACCACAGAGGCTGCCCCATGGGTGGGGAGTTACCCACATAAAGCTATTCCCAACACAGCACGGCTCTGGCTATTTTTGGGTAGGAGATGGAGGGCAGGGGTAGGTGTGAGGTGTACGGTGGCCCCACACCTTGCTGTGAGCACTGGGCTGAGTTGGGAGGCCACAGCCTCTCTGCAGCAGCGTGGCAGCTCCTGCCTGCTCACTGTCCCGAGCAYTCACTGTCTGGATTTTGGCCATGGCTCCAGCAGCAGCACAACCTTCCYGTAACGCAAGGGGCCGTGTTTGCTTTGCTTTCGCCAGAAACTACTGTGCCATGGAGGGCAGCGTGTAATTAGGTTTCTGGTTCTCTATTACTTGACCTCTTAATATTTAACTAAATAGCTGCACAGCTATGGCTCAGGGCCCCTGGAGGGAAAGCGGCCAAGGCAGAAGGGAAAGCCCCATAGAGCCCCCACACAATGTGATACCCCAGCCCTGCACATCCCCCCATTTTCCCCCCYTTTCTATTGCCCTCTGCCCTCTCTCTTGCTAGCAGGCAGGAAAACAGAYATAAACCTGCCCACCACGGAACCTCCTGCTCAGTGTGTATGAGTTCTTTCAAAGCCCCAGCACTTGGCTTTCACACAGCTCCTTCAACATCAGCATCTGATACCAAATGGGTCCTGTCAGCCTGTGGCATGAGGATGATGATGAAGGCAATGTTTGCAGCATAGCACAGCACCAAGAGCATCCTCCCTCCTCCCAGTT